CTTCATGTCTAATAGAAATCAAAAGCAAAGCAGGCATCAACAGGCCACAGCAAGCCAAGGAAACAGTTGGAGGAAGGGTCTTCGACATACGGTTTAACAAGTCTTGCACGACCAGCATGTCTTTGACATATGACATGAATTTCCGCTTGGGTTTGGATGATTTGAGCACCCCTTCCTGTGTGCAAGCCTTGCGGGGCTTTGGCCATGCGAGCCACAATCAAAGCCTGTGTCGATTTAGGTAAGGGACAGCCCCCGGCATAAATAGGTAGGTTCTGATTTCTACTTGTGTTGATTCTTCACATTTGGGTAGATCAGATTCCTTTATCAGGTTTCGATTGTGGCTCACGAGGGCTCACGTGTTACCCGGTTGTTCAGAGGCGCCCTTTCCCCTCTCTTTGCTGCGTTCGGAACCGACCAAGCACGGTCAAACCCACAAAGGGTTCCTTTCTCTAGCGAACGGATCGCAGGTTGCAACTGGAGTGGGGCGCGGGCCATTCAATGCCGCTTGAAACCTCAGTGCTCCCAAGCCTGCGAATATCATAGAATTGCCTTGCCACCCTCCCCCGCAAACACGCTCCTAGTTTTAGGCTATGGAAGGCAATGTGTTTGGGAAATTCCCTGCGCATCCCCGCACACCGCAGATTGCAGCAAAGTATGCAAAGATCTTCTCAGTGACGCCGTCGGAGGGCTTCGTTCGCAGGGAGCCACAGAAAAGGAAGGGCCGAATTGGGTTGGACTCCCTAAGTGTGTTCGGGTGGGTGGGTGGGTGGGTTGGTGTGCGGGTGAGTGGGTGGGTGTGCGGGTGGGTGGGTGGGTGGGTGGGTGGGTGGGTGGGCGGGCGGGCGGGTGGGCGGGCGGGTGGGAGTGCGGGTTGGCGGGTGGGTGGGTGGGCGGGCGCGGGGCGGGCGGGTGGGTGGGTGGGTGGGTGGGTGGGTGGGTGGGAGGGTGGGAGGGTGGGTGGGTGGGGTGGGTGGGCGGGCGCGCGGGTGGGCGGGCGGGTGGGCGGGCGAGCGAGCGGGCGAGCGGGTGGGTGGGTGGGTGGGTGGGGGGGTGGGTGGGTGGGTGGGTGGTTGGGGGGGTGGGGGGGTGGGGGGGGGTGGGGGGTGGGGGGTGGGGGGTGGGGGTGGCGGGCGGGTGGGTGGTGGGGGCGGCGGCGGGAGTATTGATGCTCCATCGGAAAGCCTTGCCAAAGGCTGACTGGTTCGTCCATTAACATGGTTTGGGTGGCCTACTTTAGAATCACAACTTGCCCAATGCCGACTTTTGACCTTTTAGTTTCCCCCTTTGCGCGCATTTTTTGTTATGGCTATGGACCTAAAGGCCAACCAAGGATGTTTCCAGAATGGCAAGCGTGATTCAAACATGAGTAAGCGGGTGGCCGGCCTAAGCCAGGTTGACGCTGGAGGTGAGACACTGAATTCCGTCAATGCATGTGTGGTTTCTCCGCTGCCTTTTCCTATGCTGCTTCCTGATACTCTCGCACGGATAGAGCCTGGCAAATTCTGCCCTATGAAACAAAGCCCACTCAAAGTGCAAGTGTGCTTTCTTGTCCCTTGGTTTCCGTTGCCATTCATAAAAATCGTGCGGCTAGTGTCTAAGTTTTGCAAACATCCTGCTAAATAGCTCCCCAACTGGTGGACGCCTGCTTCAGTCTTTTTTTATGGCTCAAAACGAGGTCACCATGATTTCCAACTTTGGTATGTATGTTTTGGGCTGGCGGCATCCAGGTCCACAGGAAGACATCAACCTGATGGTCGCCTTTCACCCCACGCCGGACACCTCAGGGGAAGGTGGGAACAGGGAGGGGCAGCACTGCACAGTTGCAACAAACAGACATGAGGCGCATGGGTCAACTTCCTTCAAGCACGTGCTGCATGGTCATCAAGAATAACAGAAGTATCAAGTTTTATTGATTCAAGCCATTTGCTTGAATCAGGGACTGGAGCCATGTCAAGGGTCAAGTGTCAATGATTGAAACCAAATACTGATGTTAATTGAAGATCGTGAACGACTGTGTGGTTCGTCGTTCCTGCTTGTGAGTAGAACCGAGCAAACAGTGAGCAACCACTTGAACAAATATTTTGCTGACCTCCAAAGTGTGCTTTAGCGCACGTGGATAGTCTTGATTTTCTGTCTTGAGCCCCTTGGTGCTTTCCGCGGCTGCACTCAGGCTCTTTGTGCGGCTCTCATCGTTCTGAACTGAGGCACGAAAGGATTCAGGAGTTCAAGCGCGGCGACAAGACAAGGCCGGGCAGGCATCTGTTTGTGTGCTTATGTAGGGATACACGAGCCGTTTTTGACCCGGTGATGAAGGTTAAAGTCCTGATGTCAGGTGTTGGATGGCGTTGGATTGATTGCAACTGTTCTGCAGATGCATAGATTATTTGTTGATTTGTTCGTGTCGTGCCGGCTTTGCAAGATCCCACACCAAGGCCGCCATTTTCGTAACTCGCCTTCCGAGAACGATACAGAAGCCTGCGAGGTTGACAATAAGAATGGGGCAATCACGGCGGAAGTGGAGCCAATGTGCCAATCCGCATGTCAATCAACATAAAAGAGGGATGCTTGATTGTTTGATCTGCACTATGTTTGGCAAGCTTAAGTTTTGGTGTAAAGCAAGCTCAACCAGAATGAAGGTACTCATGGATCCCTTAATTTAGAATGGTGAAGTATAGGAATTGACATTGCAAAAGTGTTCAATCATATCCATAGAGGAATTCTGCTTGAAATCATGAAGCAACTAGGAGTCCCTTCATGGATACGAACTGCATTACCAGGTCGTGCTGGACAACAGCAATAGAACCACTAATGTCTGGCATTCCTAAATGTTGCCATTTTGCTGTTTTAGGTATGCTTTTCTGCACCGTCGCCTTTTGGGGCTACCCTCGTCAGGTGCCTGAGGCGCAAACCTCTGCCTTTGCAGATATCTGGGCGGCCATAGTTAAAAGTTATGAGGCCCTTGAGAACATTTCTCTCAGGAAATGAGACTGCCGATTTCAGAAAACAAGTGCTGGGTATGGGGCACGGAGCGCAAACTGCGACAGGTGGCCAAGAGCATCCGTCTGGATGGTCAGGCAATTGCATTGCGAGCCAAACTGGCCACCTTTGTGAAGCACCTCCAGAAAGCAGAGGCAAAACTCAATCGCATCCTGGCCAAAAAGATTAAAGCCATACTGGTGGGAGGAGCAGCAATGCCATCATGCACATATGGTACGGAGATCACCTGGAGGTGATATTTTGTGCGAGCTTACCTGGAGGTCAAACGAGCTTACCCATAAGAAAGCCATGATGACGGACCTTTGCTACAAGTAACACTGGCCTCCGATGAATTCCCCTCTTGGGGTATGCGATCATCTATAGATGAGCTATGTTTGCAGCGTCAAAACTAGCCTCGTCTCCCTATGGGGCGTCCTAAATTTGGCAACCACCTTAGGATTGCATTTTATTAGGGGAAACCAAAAAGAAGCCAACCCCTCTCAGACAAGTTCCCGGCTCCGGACCAAAATTGCAAAAAGCATAGGATGTGGGGAAACCCCCTACCTGGCCCTGTTCTTTAATGGAAATGCACCAATGGATCGAGAATTCTGTATGGTCTTCCAAAGAAGCTGTCCGCGGAATGGTCAAAGTCACGCATATTCCTGCGCAGCGGTGGCAACACACAAGAGGCATGGCCCTGCCAGGGGTCTTGGGGAAGCACTTGGTATGTGGGGGTTCGCTGTGATGTCCACGAGACACAATTTGCGCTGCGAAATGACGTTGCACCTGCTCCATGATGAGCGCTTTGCGCAGACCATTCTCATGCGAGCGCATAGAGCGGAAAAGAAAGCGAATCGATGTCACTTCCCCTGATGTGAGCCACCAGCAGGCAATGACCCGTAAGCTGGGTGACACAGCAGCAGGGGCGATCAGAGTCCACATCAACGGAGTAGCATGTGCGCAGGATTGTCTTTCAGAATTCCTGGTGGAATGAAGTGGTTTTTTTTGAAACACTTGCACGGACTCCATTCCCTCGTTTTGGGTGGATCATTCTCCTTACCTGCCGACAGAAGGGAATTGCGCCATCTACTTTCAGCTTGTTGCAGCACGTTGAGAACCTCGAGAGACCTTGAAAAGCCTTCCGCATCCCTTTGCTTGACCCAGAATGCACCAAACCGCCATGGGCCAGCAGGCGCAGCAAGACCGACATCAAGGACCTGAACATCGGTATCACCGTGCGGCTGCCTTGTTTGACCGGAGGCACAGCTATGGCCAAAACAACGCTGACGGCGTTTGTTTTGTTTCATGCATCAAGCATGTATATGTCATTTTCATGTATCCAGAATACATGTGCATGGGTACTAGGTATGTGAATCGAGAACGCCTGCATCCCCTGCGCTCGAGAGGCTTCTTTGCATGGGGCGATGCTGCTCTGAGGGAATAGTCCCTTGTTCAGCATCAGTTGCTGAGAGTCGGTGTGCGAGAGCTAGTTGTCGATGCAAGTTCAGGAAACGCCGCCCCTTGCCGCCCTTTCGTAGCACTTTCGAGGGAGGCGGAAGGGCACGATAGCACCCAGAGAACCCTGCAATAATGGCATGGCAGAACCACCTCGAGGCCCTGCAGGTCAGAGTGGAGCACATCGTAGCTCTTTGTCCACAGGCAGACTCCGGGAAGCGTCCGGGTGGTGCTTTTGGGGGTGGTCTTTATGGCATTGAACACCATGGTATCGTAGATGCAACAAACAGGCTGGTCATCCACTACACCCGGGACCATGATGCAAAGTGCATTGTTGTGGAGCATTCTCTGGACCAGTTCATGGCAGACCATGGCACGCTGCCTCTACGCATTGCGCGAGCATCAACTTGCACACAGAAAGCTGAAGAGGTACTCAGACGAGCACGATCGCGCGAAGGAGAGAGAGGCTACGATGTGGTGTTTTGCAACTGTGAGCACTTTGCCAACTGGTGCTTTGACGAGGAATCACGGAGCGAACAAGTTCAGGCAATGACATTGAGGGCAACGGCATGGATATGGGCGCAGGCTCTGCTTCTTGGTGCTTCCGCCGACGCAGCAGCAGCAGGCGGCATTGCAGCAGCAAATGGCGCAGCAACGGCTGGCACGGCGACAGCTTTCGTGGCACCTGCTGGCGCGGCAACAGCTGGCACAGCAACAGCAGCTGGCGCGGCAACAGCTGGCGCAGCTGGCACAGCAACAGCTGGTATAGCAACAGCTGGCACGGCAACAGCTGGCACAGCAACAGCAGCTGGCGCGGCAACAGCTGGCGCAGCTGGCACAGCAACAGCTGGCGCAGCAACGGCTGGCATGGCAACAGCTGCCGGAGCAACAGCTGGCACAGCAACAGCTGGCGCAGCAACAGCTAGCACAGCAGCAGCAGCAGCTGGCACAGCAACAGCTGGTATAGCAACAGCTGGCACGGCAACAGCTGCCGGGGCAACAGTTGGGCTCTCTTTCGCTCTCGCAGCTGTGGTGATAGGTGGCACTTGTGCTGTTTGGCATGGTCACAAGAAGGACATTGGTTGGGATGCATCTGTGTAGGGTGCCATTATTATTTTGTGCAATAGTCGTACAAAGCGGAATCTCAAACCTCACAATCTGACATTAACATTGGCTAGTAACTGTTAGGAAAGAGCCCTTTCAATTCGTGAGCCTGATTTTTCTCCCCGTGAGCTTGTAAACGCTTTGCTCCCTTTCAGGTTGTACACCGACTCCCGATTTGTGTTTACAATGACACGGAATCGAAGATCAAGGCATACCTGACCAACGACAACATTAGCCTGCACTTCAACAACATTAGCTGGGACTTTACCTCCGAACATGACTTGCTGCTCAACGCGCGTACCTGGTTTCGAGTTGGAAGCATGACATTGCATTTGGCTCGCAAAGAGTTGAAGGAATTGCGTCCGCCAGCGCCTGCGGAGTATCAAAGCTTTTTGCTGCATGTTGAGCAAGATGTGCCAAACAATGTTCAACAACCGCCACCCATCCGCGTGCAACGTGGTGACATCGTTGTGTACAGAGATGGACAGCTCGTGATCCATGATTCCCTTGTCGCAGCTTAGCGCATTTTCCGCTTGAAAAGGCAGCCCTGATTGCTCGTATTTGTTGAGGCAGAGGTTTGGTAGTGGTCATTGCTGTTGCCAGAGCTGGTGATTTGGAGTGTGACAGCTTTTTGCTGAATGTCGAGCAAGATGTGCCATGCCGTGTTCAACAACCACCTGTACAGAGGTGGACAGCTCGCGAACATCCCTGGCAGCCCTCATTGCTCGTTTTTGAGGCAAAGGTTTGGTAGTGGCGGTTACTGTTGCCAGAGCTGGTGATTTGGAGTGTCACAGCTTTTTGCTGCATATCGAGCAAGATGTGCCGGACAGCTCGCGAACATCCCTGTCCTTGTATTTTAGACAATCACAGCTTAGTGCATCTTCCGCTTGACGAGGCAGCCCTGACTGCTCGTTTTTGAGGCAAAGGTTTAGTAGTTACTGTTGCCACAGCTGGTGATTTGGAGTATCACATTTTTTTGCTGCATGTCGAGCAAGATGTGCCACGCCATGTTCAACAACCACTTGTGCAGAGGTGGACAGCTCGCGAACATCCCTGTCCTTGTATTGTAGACAATCACAGCTTAGTGCATCTTCCGCTTGACGAGGCAGCCCTGACTGCTCGTTTTTGAGGCAAATGTTTAGTAGTGGTGGTTACTGTTGCCACAGCTGGTGATTTGGAGTATCACATCTTTTTGCTGCATGTCGAGCAAGATGTGCCACGCCATGTTCAACAACCACTTGTGCAGAGGTGGACAGCTCGCGAACATCCCTGTCCTTGTATTTTTGACAATCACAGCTTAGTGCATTTTCCGCTCGACGAGGCAGCCCTGACTGCTCGTTTTTGAGGCAAAGGTTTAGTAGTGGTGGTTACTGTTGCCACAGCTGGTGATTTGGAGTATCACATCTTTTTTGCTGCATGTCGAGCAAGATGTGCCACGCCATGTTCAACAACCACTTGTGCAGAGGTGGACAGCTCGCGAACATCCCTGTCCCTGTATCCTAGACATCACAGCGCCGTGGGCCGTCTGTCTGGCAAAACCACGTTAGGACACTGCAGCCACTATTTTGAACTTCGATCGCTGGTATTCCGGTAAAGAAGGTACCTTCCACGCACCTTTCAATACATGGTCTAACTCTGATACTGAAAAGTCGTACTTGGGGTCTAAGGAAGCGAGGCACGACGGTGCTTCGAGCTACCACAACAAGAGGAAGCCAAGGAAAACCTCTGCTTAAAAACGATCAGGAGACCGAGTGGCCCAGTGGTGCCTTGCTTTCCTGTTTGGAGTTGGACGTTTCCATTTGAAGATCAAACAACTGTGCACTGGGCTATTACTGTAGTCTTCACAGGGATCGAGAGCGCCAGACTTCGGCCGAGCGGCTGGATCCAGAAGACTCCGTTGTTTGCATACCCATCCCTCAAGCTTATGATGCCTCCTGCACTGAAGTTGATGGGGTTCATCCCCCCAAAACCTCTGGTTGCAGTCATGCTCGGGGTAAGTGCTGAACATACAATTCAGTCAAATTTTAACGATGCCACGAGGGCTTCCCAAATTCAACCTTGTTGTATACGCTTCTATAATCACATTGAAAGGCAAGACATGTCTTGTATCCGAGCCTGAAACGGATGATCAACTCACAAGTGCCGTTTGGGTCTTCGGAGGACCCCCGTTTTGGGGGCCCCGTTCCCCACTCAGTGGGATCACCTGGCCAGGCCCGGGAGATCCGCTGCATCCTGGAAGGTCACGCACCTTTGATGCTGGAGGCCCTTTGTGCCCTGCGCCACGCGTATTTTGTTTTTGGTGTGTCGGAGGTGGTGTATCCTCTCTGCATGTCCTTTTAAGCAACTAACTTGTGCGTCATGGCGAATCATTGGTGAACTTTCGACATGTTGTGTCATGGCAGGTCTTTGGTAGAAATTTCGCCTTTTAGATCTTTTGGGCGATGTGGGATTCATTGTGGATGCTGTGAAAGGTTATATTGTTGCTCGGGGTACCTGTTCGAATCCGGTTGGTGTGTTGCAGAAGTGTTTCTGATCTGTTTTTGCGACCGCCTACATGTAGCAGAACAGACTTTTGTTGTTTTGCTCCTTACTCTCTCCCTGCCCCTGCCCTCGCCCCTTCACTCCCTCGCTGGGAGGTGTTTCCCATTGACCCGCCACTGCGGTAACCTTGGTAAGTTGTGGAATAAGGAGGCAAAAAGGGATCCTGTCAATCCTTTCCTCGGCTTTCGATAGCACTTGGTCCTTTTGGTTATGGTTTTCTCTTTAGGGCTAAACACATCGGCTGGGCCAACCCCCCACCGCCCATTTTGAACAGCCCAGACAGAAAACAAGGAACCTTGAGCAAACTCCCTTCCCAGTTTCTGGACTTGGAAATTACAATCATCCTTTTAGTGGTAAGGCCAAAACGTCCAGGCACATTTTGCAACGAATCCATTTTAGTGCGGGTTCCTTGGTACCCTTTGAGGATGGTGTTTGAGTGGGGTCCAACTACCCTCCCTCCGATTGTGGAAGCTCGGACCCCTTTGCTTTAGACGGAGGGTACCACTTGAAGTACCAAGGGACCCTTCCGCCTGGGTCGAGCCATTTACAGGCCACTGGCAAGTGTGTGTCGCAGCCCGGGGAGACGAAGCCGGGCACCCAATGCTTGTCGAAGGCTCCGTGGGTCTGGCATGTTTGTCTGGGCAAGTTTGATTTCACAAGCTCACGAAAAAGTGACAAAAGTCCTGGGACAAATGTGGGTTTTCCACGTTAGTTCATATTTGATCCTCCGCCCTGAGGTCTGGTCGGTGAAACCGGTGACTCGTGCCACCTCCGTGCCACCTCCGACGCAACTCCACCCACCGCACCGCGATGGATCCCAGGCTTCTGGAGTTCTTCGCCCAAGTGCGCACGAAGACGCAGAACAGCCGCCAGACAGCATGGGCCGACCAGCATACTTGGGAAACCAACAAAAAGCTAAGCTTGCTCTGGGCAATTCAAGAGAAGCCAGAGCACCTTAGTCGGTGGATCCCACCAATTTTTGGTTTGCTTCTATTTATTTACAAGTGCATCAATATTTGTCCAAAAGGACATCTGGCAAGAGCAGGGAATTCGCATTTGTTGGGTCCAAAGAAATGGTCCCAGGCGATTCTGGAGACATGTTGAAGCAGCTGCGGCTCCTGTGTTGTATGGAAGGAGGAAGCACCCTTTCCCAATAGGGGTTACCAGGTCCTTGGGTTGCATGTGAGAATCACCAAACACTTCAAATGGGCCGGTGGAATTTGTAAGGGGTTCTACTGCTTGATTTACAGTAAGGCCTGAAGGTATTCGATAATGTGATATAAAGCTTTGCTGGAATGCAGATACAAGGGAGCCAATGAATGGAGTTGGAGTCCTGTCGCAGAAAAGAACGGCAGTCCCAAAGCGGGTTGCTATTTGGGTCCGGCTGCTGAACCTTGCATTTGTGGGTGACCTGGACAGGGAGGCGCTTGATGTTCAATGATAAGCGGGGCATGGACATCAACCCGTTGGCTGCTTGGTATTCCTGGATTCCAGGGGAGAGGCTGGTCTTTATCCCATCGTTGTTGACCAAAGAAAATCCGAACAATCCTGCGGAAGGAGTTGTGCCGTTTGTCCCGTCGCCTGACCTGAAACCTGTCAGTTGCTCGAAAGGAAGCTGTTGCACACATTTGCATTGGAGGATATGGGCTGCAGATACCCCGTATGGTTTCTCCCGCGGCTCGCATTGAAGGACCACAAGGACCATAAGTCCTTGTTTGTTCAATTGATTTAACATTGATTATTGATTTGTTCTAGCAAGCTTTTGTTCCCCACTGCCTAGTAGAAAGTTAGATATTTCTTAGGACAAAGACCCACACATCGCCCTGTAGGATTGAACATGATCTCAGGGCCAGTAGTTTTGGATACGGACACCTGGAGGCGGGCACTGTGCATTGCCTGAACCCATTTTGGCTTGATGCCGAAGATGATGCCAACGATGGTGATGGTGCTAAGGGTGGTAGTGGTGGCGGTGGTGGTGGCGGTGGTGGTGGCGGTGGTGGTGGTGGCTCGGATGGTGGTGGGTGTGGGGGTGGGGGTTGGGATGCCGATGACGATGATGACGATGATGATGACGATGATGATGATGATGATGATGATGGTGGTGGTGATGATGGTGGTGCTGATGGTGATACTGAGAATAATAATGATGATGATGACGATGGCCATGACCATGACCATGACCATGACGATGATGATGATGATTATTATTATTATTATTATGATTATTATGATTATGACGATGACAATGATGATGGTTGTGGTCGTGATCGTGATCGTGATGAGCGCGATGAACCTGAATTACCCTGCTCATGATTGACGATGGATATGAATGCTGATGCTATTCATCACGATCATGACACTGGTCCTGATGATGCGGCTTGCAATGGCAAAAGTGATGCCTGCAGCAGTTGCATACTTTCTTACAGTGTTGCCTTTCCGGTGTTGCCCGCATGCGAACTCCTAGCGGCATTTGAAGTAGGTTGACACAGCATGACTGATATCGGTGCTCCCCGAGGCTTCATTATCCGCAACCCTACGGACAGCGACTGGAAGCTCTATCCGCAGGCAGGGCTGCACGGCTGCTGGGCTGCAGGACGGCAGGTCCTCCGAATTCAGCATACCAGTGTGGTTTTTTGATGTGTTTCAGAGGATGCGCTTTGTCCCGACATTCAAGGGGAGCTGACAGAGCGGGGTCGAAAGGCTACGGTCCTTTGTAATTCCTTTTGCGCTTGTTCAAGGAAACAAAAGTTTAGGTTTTCCATTCTCGACTTCTTTGCGGCAATCAACCCCTTGCTAAACACGCAAGAGGATTGCATTGGAACGAGTGGACATCCTTGAGAGGTGATTTCTAATTACCAGTTGGAGTTGGACGGGTCAAACCTACCACAGCCTCCCGCTGAGGGGTCTACTTCTATAGGGCTCCCGAAAAGATGCTTGCTTTGGTCATCTAAAGCAGCAGGGTTTGCACGTCTCAGAAGGAAATCTCGGTTTTGGGGGCAATGCGCAGGTGGATTATGTAGAGTCTATGGGCCCGAATATCCCACAGAGACAACAGGTTTCGAACCGCAAAGTTATTGTCAAGGTATTCCTTTCGTGGTCCTCCGATTTTGGCGAACAACAGATGCCCTAAAGGTTTAGAAATCCTCTTGGAGGGTTTCCCATAATCCTTTTCCAGGTTCTACCTGTCATCCCACCTTGGGGGTGCAAGGGACCATGCTCTTGACAAACTCACACCCTCACACGTCGCTCTATGTCGCCTTATCATTCTCAATCCTGGGCGGAGGCGGTTTGGAGACTGGAGGGGAGGGTTTTTGGAGTCGTCCGCTTTTCCCTATGAAAGACATGGGTGGGGGGTGTCCCTTGGAGAACATAAAAGCAAATACGTCCACACAAAGTCGCCCGTTTTTCTTGGGGGCTTTGGAGACTGGGAGACCCGCCAGGTGGCCACCCAAGAGCCAGCGGGCGCCAGCTACTTCAGCTGCGAGAAGGCCTGGCGGAGTAACAGCTTTTTTTTTGGGCACGGGAGCTGTTTTTAGGAGAGCACCGGCAGTTTTCGTTTTTGCCTGGATAGCTGAAAGCTATAGGGGTTCTATCTTCTAATAAAGAGGAGAAAATGGTTTGCGAGATTGATGGGCTTGTGCTGGGGGGCGTCAGTTTGGAGTGCTGGTGTAGGTGCTGATTGGGGTGCTGTTTGCGGTGCTGATGGCAGTGCGTGTGCATCTTTTCAAGATTGACGGTAGGGTGCTAGGGGGCATGCAGTTTGGGGTGCTTGTGCAGGTGCTGTTTGGGGGGGGACGGTGCGCGCGCATTTTTGCATTTCGACAGGAGGACGCAGGGGGGAAGGCAGTTTGGGGTGCTGCTGCTGATGGTGCTGTGGGACGCAGTTTGTGGGGAGGTGATTGAGGTGCTGGTGACGGTACGGACGCATTTGTGCGATATTGGCGCTCAGGTGCTATCAGGCATGTAGGTGACGGTGCAGGCGCCTGTTTGCATTTTGACGGTAGGGCGCAAGGGGACATGCAGCTTAGGTGGTGGTTTGGGATCCTGTTTGGGGTGCTGGTTGATTTTTGCAAGATTGATGGCTGGGCGTCTTGGGGGGTGCTGTTTGGGGTGCTCTTCAAGGTGATGGTGCGGGCGTATTGCTGGATTGACGGCCGGGTTTTGCTTGGGGCGTTCTTTGGGGGGTGCGTTTGGAGGCGCTGGTGTGCAAGCACAGCTATTTGGGGGTCTGTGCTGGCGTAACTTTTTGGGAGGGGGCGGATTTTGTTTTGTGTTGTCGTTGTTGCTGTTTTTTTCAGAAAAATGTGTTTGTTCTGGGGGGAAGCGGCTGAACCGTTCGGGGGAACATTATTTTGTTTGAGGGACGAGTCGAACAGGTTCTCGCTGGGAGAATGTTTTTGTTTGGCGTTGTTTTGCTGTTTGACGTGTTTTTTTGGATTAGTTGAGAATTAAGGGGAAACGAGCCTACTTCTCTCTTCGGGGTGGTGCCATGAGAAACCAAAGGAACTCCACGCTGGGCGGGGTCTCCATATTATATTCGGTCACCCACCCGAAACTATTTTGGGCCCGAACGAGGGCAGAAACCCGTTTCACAGGGGTCGTGAACTTGGGATTACCAAGCGCCATGACTGCCCCTTTTCCACCTTCTTCACCTCAGAAAATGCTGGCTCAAGGTTTCTTTACATTTTCCTTTCTGAAACGGTGGACTGCGGGTGAAGATCCGAACCATTGTCTCAATTGGATGCGACCTTGCCAACATACAGATCATTTAGCCTCGTACTAGCATTTCATTCGCTAGGTTTTTTTTGAATCGCAGCCATCTATGGGCTTTGTGCGTTTCTTGGGGTCATTGGGTGTTGAATGGGGGATCCATGGGGCCTGGAGTCCATGGGTCCTGGATTGAGGGTTCCTCGTGTTTAGGGAGTAAGCGCACAGGAAACCAGCGGGAACTTGCCCATTTTGGAGTGCTCGGAGAGAAGCCCATGTCAAGCTCTCCTTTGTTTTGAGCTTCCAGATGGGACCTATGACCGAGAAAATTCCGCTCTGCGGAAGCCTGACAATTGTTCCCGGGCTTTTGAAGGGGGTGCAGCAACCATTCTCTTGACCTCACACATGTCGCTGTCTTATTTTAATGTTAGGGGTGGGGAGCACCCCACGTTTTGGATTTTTGTTTGGAGAACAATCGGTTTCGCCATTGGATTAACTTGATGGCCTTTCTTTGGGCGACGGGTTTCTGCCTGCGCTCGCATTGTGGACTCTCGTTTCAGGAGATCGCGGTGCCAGCGAAGAAGGAAGCAACCATCCAGGCCGCTGGCTTTGTTTTGCTCAGTCTTGGCGTTTGTAGGTACGTAGGACAAGGTCGATGGTGCCCTCCAAAATGCGCGAAAGGCATGCCCCAGGTTCGGGAGAGAGTATCGTGAAGCTTTGTTGTTTGTTTCGGGACTCGGCATGGCACAGAATGGCCACAGGAACTGAATCCGAGGAATCGAGCCGTGATGATTCATTTGGGATGAGCTGTGAATGTGGCTGCGGAAATCAGCAAGCGTTTCTGTCAGAGTCGATTTTAAAGTTGCCCAGAAAGAAGATGCATGTATGATATGTTTGATGAAGTGTGCCAGTGACAGGTAACACAGGACAGGCATATTAACCCTGACATGTGGATTGGTTGCAGCATGGATCACGATCGCTTTGACACGGCTAGAATGGGGCAAAACTAGGGACCTTTGATCGATTAGATGCTGAATCACATCGGAGGTTTCCTATACAAACTGCCCCTTAAAAAAAGCGGCGGCTGGGGATCTGCTTTCGGACCTCTCGAAGCTGCTACGATGTTTTTTTTTGCGTTCCAAACCTGGAGATGGGTATGCAATCAAGCACGCCATGGGTTGTGTGTTTGCTCCTTTTGCCTCTTCTGCTTGATTTCATTGCAGAATCCGAGACCCACCCATACCATGCTTCAGCGGCCAGGTGTTCTACATGCCATTGACCATGACGGCCGACGCAACTGGCAGTGACTCAGATCAAATGATCACCTCGCCGTTCGAGCTGTTCGAAGGCAATTGAGAAAACGAGCTCACTGGTCCTAAACCTTGGATCCCTGATGTCAGGTTTTGGAATTCAAGCAGAACTAGAAATCCCCCCCGTCCTCCCCCCGCTGCGATTTGAAGGAAGCTGCTCGGACCCCCTTGAAAACCGTGCCGGCCGTATGGGAGTTTCCAATGGCCTTCTTTTGGGTGTAGAGAAATTCGGTCCCCTCAGTGACTTTCCAGGACTCCGGCAACTCATGGATAAGCCATCGGTTTGGAATAGGGCCTGAAAATCAACCATCAGCACAGCCCAGCGCGTGTTCATTGCTAGGCAAGCAGGACCTGTAAAAGAGCCATGTGGCTGCGGGTCAAAAATGGGTACCCAAGATTCAATCCTGGTAAATGGAAATATGAACTAACATCTGCGGTCCCCTGGTTGTTTAACTTTGACCCACAGCCATGTGTCAATTTGCCATTGTCTCATCATTGCGTCAGTGAGAATCGTCCTGTCTCATCATTGCGCCTGGGCTCGCGGCTTCCCTCGGATGGTGCCCTCACAGGTCACCTAGGAGCCAGCGCCAATACCTCCGCTTTTGCTTGACAAAAGGGTGCCTGCATGCATACCGAACTCAAGCCCGTAGTTTCCCTGCTGCGCCCAAACTGGAAGCTCCATATATACAATAATGTAGAAAGGGGCTACATATATATATATACATAGAAAGGCAACTGAGTTTAACATGAAGCAGGTGGCCAACGCTCTGAGACCCCAGTCTCAGGCCCCAGCAAGTCGGCGCGCGTGGAAAAGCACAAGGGCACCGTCTTCGTTGGGCCTGGGCCTTACCTGCGGCCAAGGGCCCAAGGGACGACAGCGTGTCCTTTTTGGGTTACGAAAGGAGGTTGACGTGCCTCAAAGGGGAACTCATGGGGGTTGGGGCAAATAAGCCCTAAATAAGGCCTTAAGGGCTTATTTGGGCTCCCTCCCCCTCCCCTCGAGGAACACAGGTTTAAGAGGAAGCGGATGTTGCCGTAGGGGTTGGTCAAATATTGTAATCCGGCCAGGTATGTGCCATGATCAGAACGTCTTGTTGCTTAGGGTTGTTCGGGGTGGCTGTCAACACCTATGTTCATCAGTGGTTGGTTGGCGAATTATTCTTGTCATGTTGACTTTCTTCTTAATGCACCTGGACTCTTTCACGTGGTCCTCACCCGAATTTTAGTCGTTGATGTGTGTCGTTCTTGTTGGTCGCGTACCTCGGATGCCTGTTTTACATGGATTCCCTTGGGTTCATATGATGTTTGGTCAAACTATCCAGTCGATCCAGTAGTCTATCGTCAATGTGGGAGGGACACGGGAAACTAGGGGGACTCTCTCTCTCTCTCTCTCTCTCTCTCTTTGTCTCCTTCTCTCTCTCTTTCTCTCTTTTTCTCTTTCTTTCTCTCACTCTCTCCCCCTCATTCTTCAGTTGTTCAATGTCCATAGAGGCTATGACTGAGGCTCTGGGCCAGTCCTTGAGCGGCCACACGGGCGCACGGCCAGGACGCCGGACGGCAGCGCGGTGTGCTACGAGCTGGAGGGCGAGGCCAGCCCACCCGAGGCGCGGCTGGCGGGGCTGTTTGGGGATGGCAGGAGAATCAGGGGTCCCTATATTTCCCTTTTTGGTGGTTTTAAGCATCACCTTTTTGGCCCATGAAAGGTGGGTGTTTTGTTGGGTGTGATGTTTTAAGGGGAAGTATGGGGAGCCCTGATATTGCTGACCCCGGAACCCCTGTTTATTAATATGGGGGTGTTCCCCCTCCAAAAGTGGTCAAATGACGCTCAACCCCTGTTTATTAATACTGTGGATGGTTGCGAAATCCAATTCGCACCACCTAAGCAACCATGGTTGACACCATAACGTTTGTTAGTATTTACAAGGGAATCTAGATTGCAGGGTTTCTTAGGTGGTGCAGGATTTCGTCCATCCACAGTATGGGGGTGTTCCCCTCCAAAAGTGGTCAAATGACGCTCTTGTCATCGTTGTTGGGAAACATTTTACATTTTGCTTATTGTGGTTTAGTGGTTGAAATGCAACCACTTAACTGCTACAAATTGTATTTTTTGCTCCCCTTCCAACGTCAACCAAACGGTAGTACTTTCGAAGACTACATGTCTCCACTGCAAATTAGCATGAAGCCCCCAACAGAAACCGAGGTTCCCCAAAAGGAGGTTCATCTAAGAATGCTGGTTGTTAGGGTTTCATGTTCGTTTGAGAGAGACTATTTTGAAGTACGGCAAGTGTCGAACAGCGTAGGTTTTCTCTCAAAGGTATGCCAAGCTGGCAATGGACCAGAGTGGTCCCTCACCCGGTTCAGGTTCGTTCCCCAAGCCTGGGTGAACTCGTGTTGTTATTTTGACTGGTTGTGGGGGTCAAAGTCAAAACCTATCCGTTGTTCCTGCAACCTACCACTTGGGGAGGGGATTTTGACTGTAAAGTCATGGGGCCAGTTGAAGCAGCCCCCCCTCAAAAAACAGAAAGGAAGGAAGGAAGGAAGGAAGGAAGCAAGGAAGGAAGGAAAGAAAGAACGAAAGAAAGAAAGAACGAAAGAAAATAAGAAAGAAAGAACGAAGGAACGAACAGAACACACACACACACATAATATGGTGGTTTTCCTTTTGGGTGTTAATTGAAACCACAACAAAGAGTTGGTACATGTTGCTTCCCTCAAAATTCTGGCACACCCATAATTATGTCATGTGGCACCTTGAGCGAACAGAGCTTGAGGAACGAGTTTGCAGCTGTCATGAAAAGGGGAATCAACCATTGGCAAATTGGCAACAACAATATTTACTTCTCGTGGTTGTCCCCTACAAGAACAGTTCCCTGCATCCGGGGTCCATTCTATGAGGCGTGCTAAATAGCCTAAGTCAAAAAGGCAAAGAACAACAAACAAAAAAGAAGCAAAGAACAAAAAAGCACGAACAAGAGGAAACCACAAGAACATGTGTAAGTGTGTTGAATTTTTCCAGCCCGAGGCCAATTCGTCCAGTGCGATCCGTGTCTCAGGTGGGCTCCAGGATGGAGGCGAAGGTGCCCTGCAAGAAGAAGCACACGCAGGCGATCCGAGCCGCAAACATTTGGCCATGGATCAAAACCGTTTTGGGATCCCATTTTGGGGTTTTCGGTGCACCACCCATTCTAGAACCTATTTTAGTGGGGATTGGGATATTCATTGGGGGTATGGGGTTTTGACCCATGGCCATTTCTGAATAATTTATAGCGAGCTGAGGGTAAAACAAACGAACAAACGCACGCCATGGTTTTGAGATCCTTTACTTGGGGATCCTTGATTTCAGGCAATTTGGACATATTGCAAAACATGCAGATCCATGTGAGTCGCTCACATTTTTTGGGGATTTGGACTCTGGACCCTAATAAACTAGCTTGTTCAAAACCAAATCCCCAATGATTAGCGGATTACGGACTGCGCGGTTTACGGATTAGATGATGTGGCTTAAGGATTTCGAGTTATGAGTTGCACGTATTCTGCATGCTCCGGCATGCGATTTTGACCCACAGTTTGTAGCGCGGATTATGGATTAAGCAGAGTACCAACCAAAACAAGGATTAAGCGGACTGCGGATTGTGATTAGGCCCCTGGGATGTCGAACAAGCTAGTAATACATTTGGGGGTTTCTTATTGGTTTCCCTGAAAAAAGCAACAAAGGGGTAGCCTCAAAAAAGATACACCCATATATATATATATATGTATTATGGGTGGCTCGTTTTTCCCCAACCGCTCAAAGCCATTGGGGATCATAGACCCAGACATCGACTTGATCGGGGTAGCTTGGGGCAGCGTTCAGGGAAAAGGAGGGTTCCAGCCGGGTTCCATGGCTGTTGGTGATACCTTGGCTTATTCTAGGATTTGGATTTCAACAAGTTGTGTTGTTTTCCTAGATTCCCTGAAACAACACAGCAAACACGGGGTACCCTCAAAAGTTTTGGAAGAGGCCAACTTGATTTGAGAGTTTTGTCATCATCCCTCTTTGCCAGGAAGTTTCACCTGGTTAGCTGCTCGATGGCAGCCTATGGTTTTCTGTTTGGTGGGTTTCCTTGTTGGATTGTTTGGGCTTTCCGTCCCGAGACGTTTCCCTGTTCTGTCTTAGGAATCCAACAGGCAAGCATGGTCATGAGGAACCGCCGCTCAGCCGCATGCAAAAGCCAACAGGACGGACAGGTACGACCAACACAGCAAATGTCCACTGAGAACGCTGCTTAAGCTGCGAGTTCGTCGTCCTCTCATGGAAAGGAGAAAAGCATCGTGCCAGCGGTGCCATCCGCGCGTCGCGCAGGCAGTGCCTGTCAAGAACTGGCTCCACGAGAGGCACGGACAGTGACGCCGACAGCGGGGTGCGGGGGCGCATGGTTGCTCCTGATGCGATTGTTGTTTTTCTTGGGCCTTGTGGTTTGAGCCTCCATGGCAAGCTGACTCTGACCTATGCGCTATGCCAGCCGCGCATACATGTGGTTTGTCAAGCACTCCAACTGTACAGTCATGGTTCCTTTCAATTCAATCATTTCGCACTTCCGCGAGGCTCCCAGCCATCCCCTCGGCCTAGTTGTGTAGTGCTTAGTGGTTGGATTTCCATTTCACCCAAAAGTTAAAACCTTTGGCAGGGGATCGGAAATCGGGCAGCCCAGTTTTGATGCATGCCGACGCTTGCTTTCGTACCGTGGCTCGTCGGGGAGGGGCTCCAAGGGAAGCCACGGTGGGGTATTTCGCGAGAGACGGTCGAACGAGGCCAAGGATTTCTGCAAAGTTCCGAGCTAGTTCGGACACATAAAGTCAACTTCCAAAGCACCAACCGTTCTTTTGAGAAACCCCTTTTACAATGCGTCCATGTCCCACTAACAGGGGAATTACCCCTGAGAAGTACGGTGCCCCGGTGCCACATTGGTCGTTTTCTGCTGGCCAGCTCCAGACCAAGCCCCCTGGCCAGCTGCATCTGTCACTTTCTCAGTTCTGACCCTCGTTCAGGGTTCTTTGGCTGGAACCCAGTGCTCATTTCCCGGGAAAGGGACCCCCTGGCCTGGCCCTCAGCTTCGCCGGAGTTGTCCGGCGCGACCGCGATCCCATCTTTGCCGCGGCTCAAGGCGCGGCAAAGTGTCCGGCCCAGGCGCCCCGTGTTCCAAGTTGGCCCAGCAGCTTCCGGCGTGGGATTTGGGCTTGTCTTTTAGGGAACCCCCGGAATGGTTGTTTTCCTCTTAGTTTCCCTTCAAAGCCATCCAACAAATCGCCGCAAAAAAGACACACCCGTTTGTCTCCAGTTGGGGGGACCTCACAAAATGGAGGAAGTCCCTCTGGTTTGCCCATCAAACCAAAGAGAGGAGGTTCCGAAGAACGACACGACCAACGGTTGGCCGCTGGCTCTTTGACCGCGGCAACAGGTGTCACTGCCCGGGCCACTGCAATGGGTGATCCGGATGAGACACAGTACAATGCCATCTGACTTGTTCAGTATCTGTTTTGTTGGTAGTGTCTTTGTAGACGTTTCGCCTTTTGAGTGGCGGCTGGAACCAACACAAGTGTTTAACCTCTGACTCGGTAACTAAACTGTATGATTCAAACGCTTTGAAGGGCCGGCAACGAAAGCGGTCCGATTTAGGAGCTAAACTCCGCCAAGCCTTAGTTGGTGGATTGACTTGGTGAATGGAAAGCCGCTAACCTCCAGACCATCCATCCAAACCAAAGGCAAGTGAGCAGAGAAAGGCTCTGATTTGAAGCTCAGGCCATCGTCATTCTGGACGCGGGGGCAAGGTGCAAGGTGGGCTTTGGCACGAACCCCATCTCCGAGCTGATCGAGTTCCCTGCTGTGGTGGGGCGCCTGAGAGTTCAGCCTGCTGCCCAGCCCTGTGGCGCCGTTTTCTTTTTCTTCTTCCATTTGGTTAAGAATATGATTGATTTTCCCCAGCTGGTTTTAAAGGGAATCTATCACTACTGGAAATATTTCAATTTGTCGGGGGGACTTCAGGAAATGGAGGTCTTCTTTTTCTTTATTGGGGTCACACACGCGCTCTCTCTTGTGGATCCTGGTGTCTAAATTCGGGAATTACGTGCCGCCGCATGGGGCCCGAGTTTGGAGACCCTATTTGTGGCCGGTGTTGTTCTTTGAAGAACCAGCATGAATCAATCGTAGCTGTTTGTCTCTTGTGGCGAGTTCGCTGAAAGAAGCAGCCGCCAATCAAACTTGGTCCATTTTCATATCATGTGGCAAGTTCCCCACTGTTTGGCTGAGGTTTGCATGATCACCAGTTGCGTCGACCGGGACGTGTGGGTGGGCGAGGAGGCTGAGGAGTACAGAGCGATCCTGACGTTGAAGCAGCCCGTAGCCAACGGCATCGTGAGCGACAACCGTGAGATGGAGTGAGCGACGTCAAAATATGGTTGTTTCTCGAAATCGTTAATGGAAAGCAACAGGAAACAACCACCTGGAGGGTCCCTTGTTTTGACACTGTCCCAGAATATATGCTCACTCTTGAATGCCAAAGTACACATCCTTCAAGGGGACGCATTTGCTTGTGCATGTCATTTGGTTATTCTTGGTGGGTAAATCCGGAAAGCGTATATTATATACGGGTATGTGTTAAAACAGGGGGACCCCTAAAACATAATGGTTGTCCTTTTTTCCTTTAAACCCAGCGGGAAGGGCAGCCTCAACCACCCTAAGGCTCCCGATGCTTTGTGGGTTCTCAAAATGGGTTCTTTTGAAGGGCCCCTGGGGGGTCCGGGTTCTTCATTGGAGGGCCCAGGGCCCTGCATAGGGGTCATGAGCCGGGCCGGTGCTCAGGTGGATTTGGAGGCATTGCTACAAACGGCTGGGGGTTGAAGCGGAAAACCATCCGCTGCTTCTGATGGAATCGGCCTGGCTGCCAAAGGATCTGAGACCCTGCCCAGTGGCAACCTTTTCCTTGTTGTTTGGAAGGCTTTTTTTGGTTTTGCATAGCCCACAACCGAAAGTTTCTGGCCGTATGTCCGATTTTGTTGTGTTTTTTTCTTTTCCAGACTCCCTATTCACCGCACATGTGTTCCTTTTTGTGGGCTCCGATTTTTTTTGGAAGGGCTTCCCTGGTCGTCCAGCTTCCCCTTCACTGGTTTGGAGACCGGTGGTTTAGGATTTGAACCCCGGGCAAATGGGAGTTTTGGTTGAGCCCCTCGCGTCAAGGCTCCAAACCAGGGGGAAGTTGATCTGAGGAGATACTGGGTATTGCACAAGCTGATGCAAGATCTCGAGATCCCTTGGCTGGGGCTGATGAATCATGCGACGCTTTCCTTGTATGCATCCGGACGAACCACGGGTGTAGCGTCTTGGATTCGACTGCGTCTTGAGTTGGCTTGGGAGTTTAGAGACTTGTGGGTCAAAGATAGGTACCCAACATTGAACCCTGGCAAATGAGCACCTGGACTACCTGCGGTCTGGCAGCTTCATTTTGACCCATATCATACCCACTTCTCGCGGTGATTCCTTCACAGTGAGGAAGCGCTTCCCGCAATCAAAAGACAAGGCGCAATTCGAAAGATGTCAAACTGGGCCCATTGGCCATTGGCAGGTTTCCGCCTGTTTGTTTTTCTTAAATTAATTCCATTCAGTGATTTGCTGTCACGCGGCTTGAGGGAATTATATTGTGTTGGCCCTTACAGTAGCAATGAAAAGCAAGGAACTTACTCGACCTGCCACAGATGACTCGTGGACATTCCCAGATGATCGACTTTGATTGTTTCCCGTGGCGATGATTGGTGACTCCCTGGTTTTGAACAATGCTCACTAATTGATAATTTTCTCATCAGTTGTAGTGCACGTGTCTTTAAGTTTGATCAGCATGTCATCATGCGATATTAGTGCGTGAGGAGAATCCCCAAAGGTTGACAGTGCTGTTCTCGTCGTTGTTCGGGTCAGGTTGTGGTTGCTGTTCTTGTTGATGTTGATATTGTTGCAGTTGCTATTGTTGCTACTGTTGCTGCTGTCTTTTTCATCAGCCCTGTATCAGGGGTTGTTGTGACCTAGAGCCCAGTGGTCTTTGCATCTAGGTTTTGCAGTGTCGTTTTGCTCGTTTTGATCGTCCCGTTTTCTTTCTGGACGATGTCTATTGCTCAGGGGGATTAACCCACTTGGGTGAAGTGACGCTCTTGTCATCGTTGTTGCTGGGAAACAGTTTGCATTGTTGCTTATTGTGGTTTAGTGGAAAATCCCCACTTAGCTGCTAAAATTCGATTTGTTGCTCCCCTTCCAACGTCGGCTTCTGAAGGTCGTTGACTGCGGTGAGACCGGGTGTCGAGCTATCCCTGTCCACGATGGCTTCGTCATCTCTCATGCGGTCAACCGGTCCGGGTTCACTGGTCGGGACCTGACCGAGCGGCTTCGGAGGTGCTTGGCAGAGACAGACAGGCAGGGCGTTGCTGTCACAGTGTGCTTATGATTCGTAGGTTCAAGGGCATGGTTGCATATATAAAATGAATATATATATATACATATATATATATATATATATGTTCCAGTCCCCACCAGGCCACCAAACCCCCCCCTTGCAAGGTTCCCCCCTCCCCCCCGAGCCCCGAGCCGCGGCCTTGCCATTTAGCAACCCGTCGGAACCGTTCAAGGATACCAGACATTTTCATTTACCCTGTCTAACATGGAACCTGACTCCTTTAAAGTAGACCCTCTGTTGGGTTCCATGCTAGCTAACCCCTTCCTTCCATTCAGCTGACCCCCCCCCCCCCTTTCGCAGCTGCCAGGCGTTTCCTGAAAGCCCAGGGAAGGACAGATGCGGAGCGCTACAAAGAGGACAGCTCGGGAGCTTTTCGGTTGGTGTAAAGGACAACCGAAAGGAAGCCATCAGGTTTTGAGTCGGCCCCCCCGTGTGTTGTTTGCAAGCCATCGAGGACTGAACCATATGGGTGGCTCGCCTTTTCTTGAGGGTGCCATCGTCTTGCTGGTTTTAAAGGGATACCAAAAGCAAAGCCACAATGTTGGAGGGCCCCCCTAAAAAAGACAATCCTATATATATATATATATATGGATGAGGCAGCCCGTCTGATTCTTTTTTTTGGGTCGACCCCCCTTTAGTATGTACTGATGATGAGTTACATGTCCTAATCAAAAAAGCAATGGTTTCCCTTCCTCCCGCTAGCATGGCAGCTGTGGGAGGGTACCTGGAAGATCAGTTTCCTCTTGGAGGGACCCCTTGTCAGGTGCCACGTTAGTGGGAGAGAGGGTTAGTTGTTCGAACAAACCACCCGCAGGAGTCTCCATGACCCTTAAAAGATTGGGGCATTCACCAAAATCAAGGGGTCAAGAAGCGCCCTGAGCAGAGGAGCACTGCTTTGTGGCCCTTGACTACGAGAAGGAGAGGGAAAATGCCAGGACGGCGCTCGACAAGGACCACAGTACTGGAGCCTAGCTACTTAGAAGGGGAGGGGGGGAAATCTTAAAATTCAATTATGTCTGTAGATCAAAGGCATCGAATGGCTAACTTGAACCCTTTACATCCTTTGAACCTTTAGATCAATGGAACGTCTAAGTGTTCAGCCGCTGTTTAATCTCCAAGCCCCAAGTCTTGTACGGAAGGGAAGGGCGTGACTTGAAAGAGCCTTTCCACATCTTCCCGGAAACTGGGAAGGGAATGCTCTGATCCGTTTCCATGCGTAAATAGGCCAAGGGAGCCTTCCGTTAAGCACGGCCAAGGAAGCAAAGGTGCCGCAAACTGCAATAGGTCCTGGGTCAAAATCAGACCGCAGGTTTTCGATACATTTTTACCAGGGATCATCGGGGAGTGAGTCTAATCTTGGGCAAAACCGGCGTGTTTTTGCGCCGCGACTCGCCAACTTTTGGACGAGTTGTCAGTGAGCCGTGTCTCCTTTTGGGATGTTGAAGGTGCCTTTGTTGTTTTTTTCTTGGGAGGGGGTGTCCATTTGAAATTAACCAAGACAAGGTGGCCCTCCCATGGAGATCGACTGGACTCTTGAGGTAAGCAGGTTGGCAGATTCTCGCTGGAATGAAGAAGCGCATGTTGGAACATATTCGTAGCCACGAGTCAGCCAGTTTGGAGCTCAAAGAGGAAGGGCTAAGAGAGCCACAAACAGGAGTCGGGGGTGACTCAAGAGTGACATCCTTTCGACGCCCGACCTGACAAGATCCATGTGCCAATCAAATGAGCAAATGCACAGCGTCCATGTGTAGAGGATTCTGCTTTTTGGGCCAAAACCGCGCCGGCTCTTGGGTTTCATGTCGAGGTGAGGGCAGGTGTTTCAGCCGAAAGCTATGGGGTGCATAGACCCAGATAGGCGACAAAGTAGCTTGGAGCAGATTTCAGGGAGGGTTCAAAAGGGGGGTTCTAGAAGGTTCCCGGCTGTTGGGGATATTGGGTCGTTTCAAGGACCAAATCGGGAGAGCACACCTTGCCGGCCCAACAATCCCCGCAAGTTACAGCAAGTTAGGCTTGCCTTCGTTTGGCTGGGTTGGATCCAAGTGATGGTCAAACCTTGACTGGAGCTCCGGACTGGACCAGATGCAAAACCTGGACAAGTGAAAGTCAGAGGGAAAGGCAACTGTCCAGTGCTTGAGTAGACCTCATTGAGGCTGTGGTATCGATATGACTCATACATCCTTGGTCACATTGATTGTCAATCAGGGGACTTGGATCTTGTTGCCGATCGGAGAGGTGGCTGTGATCAACGCACACGGCCTACCGCCACTGCCGACGTGTCCCTTGATGCTTGTTGATGTCTTGCGCCCTACCCACAGGAGGCAGCAGAGCAAGCCGATCGAAGTCGATTGGTCTGCCTCCTGCACACCGCTGGCCGGGTGTGGGGAGCCATGCATGGAGCGATCCGCTCGGCACGCTTGGGGCCAACGCACCGAGCTCTGTGGTGTATGACAGCAGGACAATGGGCTAAGTGCCTGCTGGGCGTGTCTTTCTGCGCCGGATGGCTGCAGCGGCCCGACCCGAATAGTGCCGACCTGGCATGCTCGTTCCATTGAAATTGCTCGAAGTCGAGTGAGGAGTTGCCGAGGCCAGTAGCCGAATAGTATTTGGCTTTTACGGTCCGGCCCCTGCCTTAGCTCCGCCGCCGAAATTTGCCTGGCTTGGAGGGGAGGCCGCTCTGAGGTCTGAGGGTTTCAGGTTCTGTCGCTTGCAGTTTTGCGGATGTCTGTGGCGTGGTCTTCAGTTGAGCTCGTGCTGGTGTTGCTGATTTATTTCAGCAATTGAAATTGAAAGCAGTGTGCGTTAGCATGTCGAGAAGCAGAAGCCCAGCTTAGCGTCAAGCGATCGAAAAGCGGTGCAGCCGTACTTCTGATTTGCTTGCATGTTTTGTTGTGGACCTCTTTGACGCTGTGGTTTGATTCTGACTCACATCCTTGTTCACATCGACTTTCAATGACTTGGATCATGTCGGCATGTCAATCGGAGAGGCGGCTGTGATCAACGCCGAACGCCGCAGCTGCCAACGACTCACATCATGCCTGTTGATGTCTTGCGCGCCTTACTCGCGGGAGGCAGCAGAGCAAGCCGATTGAGATCGATTGGTCTGCCTCCTGCACACCGCTGGCCGGGTGTGAGGAGCCATGCATGGAGCGATCCGCTCGGCACTCTTGGGGCCAACGCACCGAGCTCTGCGATGTATGACAGCAGGGCGATGGGCTAAGTGCCTGCTGGGCGTGTTTGTCTGCGCCGGATGGCAGCGGTCCGATCCGAATGGTATCCGGGTTGCTGTCCCTGCTTTAGGTTCGCCTGCCGAAATTTGCCTGGCTTGGAGGGGACGCCGCTCTGTTTTGTGAGGGTGTCAGGTTTTGTCGCTTGCACTTTTGCGCCGGTCTTTGGCGTTGGTCTTTTAGTTCAGATCGTGCCAGTGTTGCCGATTTCATTCAGCAACTCAAAGTGCAAGGTGCTAGGCAAATGTGGCAGCCTTGCAACTGGAGGTTGTGACATGAGCTAAGTTGAATCCTGGACGATTGAAAGTTACACGTCCGAGGGGGGATGTCACACGCTACTATCCGTGCAGCCGTACTGTTGATTTGCTTGCAGTGCTATTGTGTAGACCTTTGCTGTGGTTTCATTGTGGCTCGTTCAATTATGCTAGTGCACATCCACACTTTCAATGACTTGGATTTTGTAGTCTTGTCGATCGGAGAGGCGGCTCTTACACAAGATGCTTGTTGATGTCGTGCGCCCTACCAACAGGAGGCAGCAGAGCAAGCCGATTGAGATCGATTGGTCTGCCTCCTGCACACCGCTGGCCGGGTGTGGGGAGCCATGCATGGAGCGATCCGCTCGGCACGCTTGGGGCCAACGCACCAAGCTCTGTGGTGTATGACAGCAGGACAATGGGCTAAGTGCCTGCTGGGCGTGTCTTTCTGCGCCGGATGGCTGCAGCGTCCCGACCCGAATCTTGCCGACCTGGCATGCTCGTACCATTGCTCGAAGTCGAGTGAGGAGTTGCCGAGGCGAGTAGCCGAATGCTATTTGGCTTTTACGGTCCGGCCCCTGCCTTAGCTCCGCCGCCGAAATTTGCCTGGCTTGGAGGGGAGGCCGCTCTGAGGTCTGAGAGTTTCAGGTTCTGTCGCTTGCAGTTTTGCGGATGTCTTTGCCATGGTCTTCAGTTGAGCTCGCGCTGGCATCGCTGATTTAGTTCAGCAATTAAAAGCAGTGTGCGTTAGCATGTCGATAAACTCTGCTTAACAACAAGCGATCGTAAAGCGGTGCAGCCGTACTTCTGATTTGCTTGCATGTGTTGTTGTGGACCTCTTTGATGCTGTGTTTTGATTCTGACTCACATATCCTTGTTCACCTGCGTTTGCAATGACTTGGATCATGTCGGCATGTCAATCGGAGAGGCTGCAGCGACCAACGCACACAGTGGAGCGATCCGCTCGGCACGCTTGGGGCCAACGCACCGAGCTCTGCGATGTATGACAGCAGGGCGATGGGCTAAGTGCCTGCTGGGCGTGTCTTTCTGCGCCGGATGGCAGCGGCCCGATCCGAATGGTATCCGGGTTGCTGTCCCTGCTTTTGGTTCGCCTGCCGAAATTTGCCTGGCTTGGAGGGGACGCCGCTCTGTTTTGTGAGGGTGTCAGGTTTTGTCGCTTGCAGTTTTGCGCCGGTCTTTGGCGTTGGTCTTTCACTTGAGCTCGTGCCAGTGTTGCCGATTTCATTCAGCAACTCAAAGTACAAGGTGCTAGGCAAATGTGGCAGCCTTGCAACTGGAGGTTGTGACATGAGTTAAGTTGAATCCTGGACGACTGAAAGTTACACGTCCGAGGGGGGATGTCACATGCTATCTGCACAGCCGTGGTTTTTTGATTTGCTTGCATGGCTATTGTGTTGGCCTCTTTGATGCTGTGGTTGCATTCTGACTCGCACATCCACACTTTTAATGACTTGGATTTTGTAGACATGTCGATCGGAGAGGCGGCTCTTACACAGGATGCTTGTTGATGTCTTGCGCCCTACCCACGGGAGGCAGCAGAGCAAGCCGATCGAAATCGATTGGTCTGCCTCCTGCACACCGCTGGCCGGGTGTGGGGAGCCATGCATGGAGCGATCCGCTCGGCACGCTTGGGGCCAACGCACCGAGCTCTGTGGTGTATGACAGCAGGACAATGGGCTAAGTGCCTGCTGGGCGTGTCTTTCTGCGCCGGATGGCTGCAGCGTCCCGACCCGAATAGTGCCGACCTGGCATGCTCGTTCCATTGCTCGAAGTTGAGTGAGGAGGGTCCGGCCCCTGCCTTAGCTCCGCCGCCGAAATTTGCCTGGCTTGGAGGGGAGGCCGCTCTGAGGTCTGAGGGTTTCAGGTTCTGTCGCTTGCAGTTTTGCGGATGTCTTTGGCGTGGTCTTCAGTTGAGCTCGCGTTGGCATCGCTGATTTTGTTCAGCAATTGAAAGCAGTGTGCGTTAGCATGTCGATAAACTCTGCTTAACGTCAAGCGATCGTAAAGCGGTGCAGCCGTACTTCTGATTTGCTTGCATGTTTTGTTGTGGACCTCTTTGATGCTGTGGTTTGATTCTGACTCACATATCCTTGTTCACTTGCGTTTGCAATGGATCATGTCGGCATGTCAATCGGAGAGGCTGCAGCGACCAACGCACACGGTGGAGCGATCCGCTCGGCACGCTTGGGGCCAACGCACCGAGCTCTGCGATGTATGACAGCAGGGCGATGGGCTAAGCAACTGCTGGGCGTGTCTTTCCGATCCGCATGGTATCCGGGTTGCTGTCCCTGCTTTAGGTCCGCCTGCCGAAATTTGCCTGGCTTGGAGGGGACGCGGCTCTGTTTTGTGAGGGTGTCAGGTTTTGTCGCTTGCAGTTTTGCGCCGGTCTTTGGCGTTGGTCTTTCACTTGAGCTCGTGCCAGTGTTGCCGATTTCATTCAGCAACTGAAAGTGCAAGGTGCTAGGCAAATGTGGCAGCCTTGCAACTGGAGGTTGTGACATGAGTTAAGTTGAATCCTGGACGACTGAAAGTTACACGTCCGAGGGGGGATGTTACATGCTATCCGCACAGCCGTGCTTTTGATTTGCTTGCATGGCTATTGTGTTGACATCTTTGATGCTGTGGTTACATTCTGACTCGCAGAAATATCCTAGTGCACATCCACACTTTCAATGACTTGGATTTTGTAGTCTTGTCGATCGGAGAGGCGGCTCTTACACAAGATGGTTGTTGATGTCGTGCGCTCTACCAACAGGAGGCAGCAGAGCAAGCCGATTGAGATCGATTGGTCTGCCTCCTGCACACCGCTGGCCGGGTGTGGGGAGCCATGCATGGAGCGATCCGCTCGGCACGCTTGGGGCCAACGCACCGAGCTTTGCGGCGTATGACAGCAGGATGATGGACTAAGTGCCTGCTGGGCGTGTCTTTCTGCGCCGGATGGCTGCAGCGGCCCGACCCGAATAGTGCCGACCTGGCATGCTCGTTCCATTGCTCGAAGTCGAGCGAGGAGTTGCCGAGGCCAGTAGCCGAATGGTATTTGGCTTTTACGGTCCGGCCCCTGCCTTAGCTCCGCCCCGCTCTGATGTCTGAGGTTTTCAGTTGAGCTCGTGCTGGTGTTGCTGATTTATTTCAGCAATTGAAATTGAAAGCAGTGTGCGTTGGCATGTCGAGAAGCCCTGCTTAGCGTCAAGCGATCGTAACGCGGTGCAGCCGTGCTTCTGATTTGCTTGCATGTTTTGTTGTGGACATTTTTGCCGCTGTGGTTTGATTCTGACTTACATATCCTTGTTGACTGCCGTTTGCAATGTCTTGGATCATGTCGGCGTGTGATCGGAGGGGCGGCTGTGATCAACGCTGCCGCTGCCGACCACTCACATCATGCCTGTTGATGTCTTGCGCACTCACAGGAGGCAGCAGAGCAAGCCGATCGAAATCGATTGGTCTGCCTCTTGCACACCGCTGGCCGGGTGTGGGGAGCCATGCATGGAGCGATCCGCTCGGCACGCTTGGGGCCAACGCACCGAGCTTTGCGGCGTATGACAGCAGGATGATGGGCTAAGTGCCTGCTGGGCGTGTCTTTCTGCGCCAGATGGCTGCAGCGGCCCGACCCGAATCTTGCCGACCTGGCATGCTCGTACCATTGCTCGAAGTCGAGTGAGGAGGTGCCGAGGCCAGTAGCCGAATGGTATTTGGCTGTTGCGGTCCGGTCGTCCGGTCCCTGCTTTAGCTCCGCCGAAATCGATCTGAGGTCGAGGGTTTCAGGTTGTGTCGCTTGCAGTTTTGCGGCTGTCTGTGGCGTTGGTCTTCAGTTGAGCTCGTGCTGGTGTTGCCGATTTCTTTCAGCAATTGAAAGCAGGGTGCGTTAGCATGTCGAGACTGCTTAACGTCAAGCGATCGTAAAGCGTTGCAGCCGTACTTCTGATTTGCTTGCATGTTTTGTTGTGGACCTCTTTGATGCAGTGGCTTGATTATGACTCACATATCCTTGGTCACATTCGTTTGCCATGACATGCGTCATGTCGGCATGTCAATCGGAGAGGCGGCTATAATCAGCGCACTCGGCCTACCGTCGCTGCTGCCGTATCACATCATGCTTGCTGATGTCGTCCGCGCTCTACCCACAGGAGGCAGCAGAGCAAGCCGATTGAGATCGATTGGTCTGCCTCCTGCACACCGCTGGCCGGGTGTGGGGAGCCATGTATGGAGCGATCCGCTCGGCACGCTTGGGGCCAACGCACTGAGCTTTGCGGTGTACGACAGCAGGATGATGGGCTATGTGCCTGCTGGGCGTGTCTTTCCGGCTGCAGCGGCCCGACCCGAATAGTGCCGACCTGGCATGCTCGTTCCATTGCTCGAAGTCGAGTGAGGAGATGCCGCGGCGAGTAGCCGAATGGTATTTGGCTTTTACGGTCCGGTCCCTGCTTTAGCTCCGCCGCCGAAATTCGCATGGCTTGGAGGGGAGGCCGCTCTGAGGTCTGAGGGTTTCAGGTTCTGTCGCTTGCAGTTTTGCGGATGTCTTTCGCGTTGGTCTTTCGGGTGAGCTCGCGCTGGCATCGCTAGAATTTCAGGATCCAACTGCTTGGCTGGAGGTCGTTCGTGTCTGCATGTACCCCTTGTTTTCGTTTGGCCTCATGTTATAGAAGTTCATCGGACAGGCAACACATTCATCCAAGCGCACAACGTGCAATTGCCGCCGGGGTTTGTTTGTTGCTTGGTGGCTTGGTTGTTTGGTTGCTTGGTGCTTGGTTGCTTGTTTGCTTGGTTGCTTGTTTGGTTGCTTGGTTGCTTGGCTTATTGGTTTTGTGGTGGTGTGTTTCTGCGTGTTTTTGCTTTGTTTGTTTTTCTGCTGGTTTGCTTGACTGTCCCCCCCACCCAGCAGGAGCTCTTCACCTGCCCCGAGCTGCTCTTTCGGCCGGGCATCGCCATGGAATACACCTGGGGCGGCATACACGAGGCCGTGCACGCGCCCTTTGGATTCAACAAAATCCACAGGCAGAGCCAGGGTACCCCACTCCCCCCACTCCACCCCCGAGAAAGATTGGGTTAGTACCCTTTGGATTCGGCAAACCAACATGCATCCAGTTCAACTAGACCCATTCTTCGCTTTTGAAACTTTGGCCTATGCCCCAAACCCCTGCATTTTGCCCTGAAACAGGAAACCCCCGAGAGCTGGTTGCAACAGTGAAAAGCAACCAGACTCTGGTCATAGCGTCAGAACGGAGGTTTCAATTTTGGCCCAACCCTGCAGGGTCAGTGGTTAGTAACTCAGACTTGCGGGACTTGGGGTCTGACCAGTGAACGAGTGCTCAGGCTTCGAAGGAAGCAACTGATTGATTGGGAGTTTGCTCTTTGAGTCTAGGGGTTGGGATGTTGGCAAAGCTCCAACGGCAGATCACCTGCGGAGGAGCGTTGGTAGTGATCCCAATGTGGGTTTCCATTCTTCAGGGGGGTCGGGTAAGTGGCGTTGTCCAAACCAGTGGTACCATTTTGGTTGGTAGGCGAATTCACCACTCATTTTAGAACCTATTTTAGTGGTTGGATTGGGATGTTAGTGGGGATTGAATCGGATGTTCACTGGGGGCTAACCGGGATTTTGACCCATGGCCAAATGTGTTTGTTCCTTTGCTTGCGTTGGAAGTTCCCCGCTGACATGACCCCTAAATTCGAGTCCCGAGTCCTGTAGTTTAGTTGGATTAGATGCCAACGGCAGACAGAACAAAACAGGATTACGAACAAGGCAAAGGCTTGGTGCAGCACACCATGCCGTTCAGAAATTGGCGTGAGACCTGAAAAATATGGCGGAACGTTGAAGCATGACCCAACCGATTGTGATATACAGAGATATTTGGGCAATGTACAGCAACCTCACAAAGGGTTGCGATCTCACCTGACGAATGTTTATGTGTGTTTATGGCTTTATGTCAGATGGAGGAATCATGCAATTTCCCCAGACATATTGCCAGTTGGTCAGCGGCAGTTCAGGGTTTTGGTGGGGTCCCCTCCAAGATCCCCCCAAAGTGGTTCCCTTTGGCTACCAATCGTTCAAATTTCTCAAAAGAGGAATGCCTATGTGGATGACTGCTAGGTCCATCATGGAGTGCGACCGAGACATCCGCCAACAGATGATGGAGAACATTGTCCTCGCTGGAGGCGTTTGTTGCCTATCCCTCCTTAAGTGCAACGGGGGAGGGGCGTTGACCCGTCTCACGTTACAATGTGTTAAGTTCATTGTGTTCAGGTCCTGATTGCCCCCAATAGGCAGTATTAGCCTTTGGTAGTCATCATCAATACTCTGGTAGTCATCATCAATATGCAACAGCCCCTCTTGCTATGGCCGTGAATCAGTATGTGAGAAAGGTGGTAGGCTGGTGCAGGTTGCTGTATATTGCAACCCTGACAAATGCATGTCAGCAACTCTTCGCCACCAATCAGGTGCGGATATGTATAGCTGGTGTTCCTAAAAGAGACCCACTTTTTGTTCAGATAACATTATCATCATCTTGCGCTGAGTTTCATGGAAGAGCCGCCGTCATGCTGCTACCGATTCGGTGCTAGCTGAAAACCATAAGGTGCTTGTGCAACATAAAGTTTGCGAAACATACGGTGGGTGTCTATGTTTTTCGGGGACCCCTGAAAATGCGGGTTTTCCTTTTGGTTGCTTTTTATAAATCCACCAAAGAAGGGGTACCCTCAAAACGAGGTGTACCTTTCTGCTCTTTTGGGACCGGCCAACCAGGGCCCCTCTTGAGGAAATATCAAAGCGCAAGCCATACGATGAACGATCTTGTCTCACTCACGTTTCGTTTTTCAAACTATTCTTCCGCAAATTACCCTCCCACCAATTCACATGGAACCCAAAAAGAGTGTTCCCCAAAAGCAGCTTCCTCTAAGGATGTTTTTTTGGGTTGCATGTTGCCCTCCCACCAATTAACCTGGAACCTGACAGGGGGTCCCTGTAAAGGAACGAACATGGTCTTCCAGGACCCCCCTGTCAGGTTGCATGTTAACTGGTGGGAGACATGCAACCCAGAAAGCCATCCTCAGTGGAAACTGCTTTTGGGGAACACTCTGTTTGGGTTCCATGTTAATTTCTAGGGCCATTGGCAATCATAGCGACCTCCGGCTCAGCTCTTGGCACCATGGTGCCTCCCATTGCTTACGCCGTGGGCAATCTTTCGCGTTGCAAGGGAGTTTGTGGTTGGCAACTGCAAGCCATAGGGTTTTCACCTCGCCGTCGCAAAGAGCTATAGCTCAAAGGGAGTCCAAAAGTCCAAAGGAGTGGATGTTGGGTCAACTGACTGTCAGAATGCCCTCTTTCAACTCCTTTGTTGCATTTTGCTTGGCTGTTAGGACTTTAACTTTTTGCCAACTCATGGGTTTTCCACTAAACCACTAAAAGTTAAACTTTTAGCAGGGGAGCAGAAAGCAACCGAGACTCGGCGGCACATTGGCGACGGCGAGGGTTCTGGCCTGTTCTTGCGAGGTACTTCACTGTTCCGGAACTTCCCCGAGCGCTTGCAACTGGAGATGACACAGCTGCTTCCAGGTAGCAAGGCGAGCTCGTCCGTGTTTTTTTCGCGCACGGGTTTACGGGTCCCCCGAAGCGAGGCCAAGTGCATCGCTGGAAACCAGATGCTCAACGTGAGTGTCAATGTTTTTTGTTCTTTTTATTTTTGGTTTTCCGACGCGTGATGCATTCCGGGAAGCCGGGGAGAGGGATGTGATGCTGGACTGTGGCCCATCAGCCTCGGCTTCAGGAAATGGCCCATCAGCCTCGGCTTGTCCGCTTGTTCTCACAGACCCGCACACGCACACATACATGCCCAATTTTTAACGCCCGCGCGCTGTTTAGCGATTCAGCGGTTGCTCCAGAACTCTCAGACGGGAATTCCGCCACCAAAACAAATGCTCGCCATTCAATCACGGGTAAGGGGCGAGTCAGGAAACAGGCTGGACAAAGTCAGGAAACGGGTTGGTCCAAGTCAGGAAACGGGTTGGCTCGTGACAAGAACCATGTAGATGTGGTTTGACGGCTTCGTGAGTCAGAAAACGACCGTGAGCCAGGAAACGGCCCCGGAAACAACAGGAAGAACGAGTCGGGGAGATGTGAGAAGTTTGTAGTTAAGCGAATAAGGTTCGTGAGTCAGGAAACATCGGTGAATAAGGTTTCGTGAGTCAGGAAATGACTGTGAAGTCAGGAAACGGCCCAGGAAACGACAGGAACAGCGTGCCAGGGCGCTCTCAAGAAATTGGAGTCGAGTGAATAACGTTTCGTGAGTTAGGAACGACTGTGAGTCAGGAAGCAGCCCCGAAAACAACAGGAACAGCGTGCTGGGGCGCTCTCATGTGTAGTCAAGTGAATAGGGTTTCGTGAGTCCGAAAACAGCGGTGGAAACGACAGGAACAGTGCGTCGGGGTGGTGCTAGGGCTGTTGTTCGGCTTCCCCGCTTCGTTATAGGGCCTTTGTTCGGCTTGGTGATTCTTCGTCAGACCATTGTTCGGCTTCGTGATTTCTGTTTGCAACCGCAATTTTCTTCATCACGGTCTTTATTTGTTTTCTAGGGACGCTGAAAGCCTAAAGCTAAGCTTTAAGAACCCTGAACCCTAAAAACCTGAACCTAACCCTCAGAACCCTAAACCTAAACAGAAGAACCTGATCCGGAAACCTAAAAACCCTAAACCTAAACCCTGGAAGCTATAAACCTAAGGCCTAAGAAACCAAGGCTGTTCCTTGATCTGGGCCCAGACGATACCAAGGAACAATGCACAAAGCAACAGGCACAGTGCAAAGCACGCAGTGACTTCTGCATCCCCCGTTGGATTCCGGCCAGTGTCGCCCCACGTCTCCCCTCTCTCCTGATTCGAACAGCTTTGCACGCCAGGCTGTTCCTTGATCCGAGCCAGGACGATATCAAGGAACAATGCACGAAGCACACGGAAGAGCGCAAAGCATGCAGTGCAAAGCTTGCATCCCCAGCATCACCGCAAATTCAAAAGCGCTGGCCACATCATTCCTGAATCGCGTTTCCTGGCTCACATTTCCGCGTTTCCTGACTCACCTTTCCTGTTATGATCTTAATATTTATCACTTTCGTTTCTTGACTTGCCTCTAGTTGTTTCTTGACTCGCCCCTGTCCATTTCCCGACTGATGTTTCCTGACACGGTCACTTGTTTCCTGACTCGGTCTAGTCTCCGACTCACTCCTTTGGGTCCCTATGGTCACTGAAAAGAAAGATCCGTGGATATAAGGAACCCAGTTCAGTTGCTATCCAATCTGAATGCCAGGGCGCCGTCTCAAATATCCTTTCCGAAGAAGTCTTTCCTGGTGCCGGGTACGCTGGGTAATTTCCCAGCCGATGAGAGCTAGTCAGCTAGTCTGTCGACTGCACTCCCCACAGTTCACCTTTGCATGTCGGTTTGCAATGTCGCCCGGCGAAACGCCGGTTTCCATAGTCGTTCAACTGTCGTTGCCCCTTCCAAACCGGGGCCGTTTTTGATATGATGCTGTTTATATATATATATATATAACAACAATAAATAAATATTATGTTCATTATGTTTAACTCTTTTTTGCGCTTCCACTTGGGTTATTGCCTAACATCTACCTCTTGGAGCCCCCTTGGATTTTGACTCTGAGGGCCCTGAACCCCCAGGCGCCTCAACAGGTCGTGGGCTAGGGTAAGACCTGCCAGGTGATCGCGCTGGAGAACCGGAAGTACCTGGCCTGGGAGGGGGCCAACCTGGTGGCCACCTATGCCCCGGAGAAGATCTCCTGGATCAGCGAACTGGAGCCGCGAAAAACCCGGGGTTGGAGGGAGTTTTGGAGGAGCTGGCCACTTCTCTTGGTGGTTTTCAGCCATCCGGTTCCTCAGGTTTTGAGGTTTTAGTTGGTTTAGTGGTTGAGTTGGCACGTAAGCCACTAAAAGTTCAACTTTTACAAGCTGCTTTCCCAGCTTATGGTGGCATACACGCCGCCAAAAACCTGAGCATGAGCTGTTTGTTTGTGTGTGTGTGGGTGTGGGTGTGGGTGTGGGTGTGTGGTGTTTGCGCCAGAGGGTCAACACTAGTTGGTCAACCCGCAAGACGCCAAAGGGCACAAATCCGGAAACCTAATCTCAGTTGTTCAGTGGCACCCTTTTCCCCCTTTTTTGGTGGCTGCCCCACTAAAAATGGTCTTCCCCCCAAAAGGGTTCCTTTTTTGCCAGGGTCACTGAACAACTGAGTAATGGTGAAGTGGTCAAATCTATGGTATCAAGAGAAGGCAACATTTACGTAGGGAAAATCGCTGGGAACCTATCCCTAGCAGCCCAACACCCCTAAATATGAGGCTCTTGAACCCCAAAGGCCTCAAATAATGAGGTTTTGGGCTACTAGGGTATAGTGCTATCTTCCCAAGCCCCAAGTAAGGCTTGGTTCGCGTCAGCCAGGAATTCGGGAATGCCATCGATGAAGACGAGCTGGCGAAGCTTAGCTTGTGACCTTGTTTCATCCGGCGGTGGCCGAGCTCCGAGCTGAAAGGGTTGCGAGCAAAATCGAAGCGGCGGGTCTCAGTGCGTGTCACGCTTACTCTCGGAGATGCGGTGTTCTGCGACCTTAGTCGATGTGTCAAGGTTCAGAGAGAACAAATGTCAGGGGAAGGTTCAGGTACCCAACCCCAGGCAGATACTTCATATTTAGATTCTCCTGGGGTGGGGTATTTGACAAGTTGTTTTATTTTCGAGTCTACGGGTGAATCTTAGAGGAATTTAACCGAACCTCAGGCAGGTGCTGGATCCTGACACACGAATGTTTCTCATGGATACATTTGAAGAGGAGGGATTCTGACGGCGTCTTTTGATATCCGTTTTATTCCAAGGACCACACAAATATGAGCTGAATCTGAACATGTCATTTTGTTTTGGGGCAAAAGCTTCAGGCAGGGCGGCTAGCTTTGAAAGTTGACTTGGGATCTCTGCTTCAAAAATGGTGATCCCGGGAATTGCCTTGTTGTGGTCGTGCGGATTCAGATCCACACTCAAAGGGAGTGGGAGGCTCATGACCCTTAATGGTCCTTAACAGTCTCTATTGAACAGTCACAAATAGTCACCATTAGAATGCAATGGCTTCCTTTGCGAGTCAGATCTGAATCAGATGAGTGAACCCCCCAACCCTGGCAACCCCTGATAAAACCCTGTTCGCCATGGTTGCTCACTCCTAAAGGATGGTATGAGAGAATCTCAAAATAGTGGATTCCTTTTTGAATTTTCAAAGCAATCCATTTTGGTGGACAAACATCATTTTATATCATTTTGGCAGCAACCACCATTTTGGCTTAAAGTTTCGGAAGCACACACCATATCGGTTTAAAGTCTAGAGAACACAACCTCACCATGTTGGTCCGGAGCCCGATTTTCAGCACCCGCGAATGGGTTGCGCTCGCTTCCTTCCAGGCAGCGTTTCAACGTGACGGTGGAGCTGGTGTCGCCGGAGCCGGGCACAGCGCAAGCGCAGGAGCGCGCGGGGAGTGGGGGGCGTTAGGGAACCCCCCACCCCCCCGCTCGGGGGACACCGTAATTAGGGGGGATGCCTGGGGGGTCTCGTTTGAGAAATGGGTGCAGGTATGCGCCTTGTTAGTTCTTTGCATGGTTCTGGGTAGACCATTCCAGTACCAGGTTTTGAGAAAGACTCACCTGGTACTTGAGGTATGGTGATCCTGTTTTGATGGCGTGTGTGCAGGTACCCTGTCCTCTATCATGGAATATACACTTCTAGGACATGCCAGGCAGGTGCCATGTTAGTGGATGGGAAGGTATCTATAATCTATCAACTGCTGTTCCCTGTCAAGGGCTTGTTGTCAAATGTGATCCCGTTGCAGGAAGGCTTAGCGACAGAAGGCTCTTTCGCTCATTTTGTCAACCCCCTCGGTGGGATGAGTCGACGGGGCGGAGCGGCGGAGTTAGCCAGGGGCTGTTCAAACGCCATCCCCTGCCAGCGAAGCCGAGGAATGGCGTTTGACAATGAACCATGGCTTTGGTGTTGGGCGCCACGTGGAGCAAGTGACCAAGTCACCTTCAAATGTTCTGCTTCTTCCTTTTTTTCTTCGAGGACGGGATACCTTTTGTAAAGAACACCAAAAGGGCAACCGCCATTTTGGGTGGTTTTGTATTTGCCACATACCCCTGCCTGTTTCAAAAGAGCCAAAGCAAGACCCTTGTGCTTTGCACATTTCCACATACGGGTTGTGACCAATGGAGCCTGACCAACACCCTCTCCCACCAAACCCAATGTTCACCAAACTCGGCGTTTTGCCACGACTGGTTCTGCTGGCTCCAGCGAGGCCCCCCCACAGACCCCGGGTCGGTGTTTTTGTTTGGCGCCGTGTGAAGGAACCTTTTTGCCGGATCTTGGAAGTGGTACTGTGGATGGACGAAATCCTGCACCACCTAAGCAACCCTGGAATGTTCATTCCCCTGCAAATACCACCAAACAATGGTTTTTCATGGTTTCTTAGGTGGTGCAGGATTTCTTCCATCCATAGTATGTCACAAAGCTGGATCTTTCAGTATCTTCAAGGACGACACATTCAAGGCATGCCACGGCACATCCAAGTCATTCGGCCATGAAGTGGCCCACATCACTCGCTATGCGAAGGGGAACTTGCATGAACCCACTTGGTCACAGATTTTCTTGGCCGACACATTGTGTTCGGTTGAAGACGTTGCCATTTATATGACTTTCGTTGGAGAACCAAAGAGAAGCCACTCAGTTGGGGGTCCATTTGGGTGCGGTTCAAGCTATGCGGATCCCAAAAATGGGTGGTTTTCCTTTTGCCTCCTTTGAAACCAGGTACCCTCAACAACCAGACATTCGTCCGTATTTCCAGCCTAAAACCACGCCCAACCACAAGGCGCACAACTCACACCGGTATTTCCGCATTTTGAGAGCAACAAACGGCTGGTGTTTTTTCCTCCGCTTCGGCAATCGGCTTCCCCTTCAGGGCATCAGCCTGCAGGGGGTGGGCACTTTGGACCTGCCACCAGGCCCTTGTTTGGGGAGACGGGAAGCTTGGGATGGGAGGGATGGTAAGCTCACCTGGAAAACTTCATTGCTGTCCACCTGGTGTTTTCCTTTAAGGGGACCAATGCCTGGGTTCATTTCCAGATTCCATGAGGCATGGTAAGCTCATTCCATTGAGTGCTATTCCATTTTTGAGGAATCCATGTGTCCAGTTCCATTGCTGGAAAGAGTGATTCCAATATTTATGGCTATGTGGTTGGATCTCTAGACGTTAACCGTTTTGCTGAAATCAAGGGTTTCCGAATTGAACCCACAAAACATATTCCTGTTTTGCATTAGGATCAACAGCAGCCAGGTTAAAGACAATCTTACCAGGATGTTGTTGTCTTTTGCTTGATCCAATTCTTATTGTAGACTTGGCATACCAGAAGCGGGTGCTAAGAAGCCCATAGTTCTCCACTTTACCGCGAAGGAAACAGATGGCTTTCTGTTTCATGTGTCCAGACCTCCTATTGAACTCCCGGATCAGGCTCTGAAGAATTAGAATGGCTATGTGCGTGTGTGTCATACGCGCGCGAGACCCACAATTAGTCATGACTGAGTCATGACCATAGGACGTGTGTGTACTATACACCTGGGCGCGGGGGGGAGCTAAGACCAGCACAGCCATTGTCAGGTCGCCGGGATGCACTTGGATTTCTGATTCTAAATGTTTGATTTAGGGACCCAGGGATGTGCCTCCCAATGGCTTGCGACATGTAGTTGGTGGATTATCCAGTTGTTTCATGTTGCTTCAATTTGGCACCTGTTTCAGTTGATCGATCAATTTCTGCGGAAATATAGCGCTTCACAGATTTCATAGAGCTTCACGAGCATGTCCCGACACGGTTGCATTCAGATAGGTCTCACCCAGTGCTTGCTGATGTGCTGATCGCTG